CGACGGATTCGTAGGAATTAGGAGTATTTTTAGGTACCAATTTTGTATCGATTTATGGAACGAATGAAGATGATTCTTGCATGGTGAAAATGGGTATCCGAGCCGGGTCTGCGTGTGGGCGATTATCCTGCCTACAGCGCCCGTAGAAGATAGCTCATGTAAATACCGCAGTGCACATGAGTCAATGCCAATGCCAAAACTTCACTGAGTTATTGCAAAGAAGAGGAGAAAAAATGCATCCTCAACCCGTGAGAGTAAGAGAACCATAGAGATGGCACCTGAAGTAGCAGTATCCCTGCCAGCCATCTATGTCCTCTCTAAGCAATCCCCCAGATCCCTCAACCTTATGGTGAAACTAACTGCCCTGACCTCCCTCCCATCAGTGTCGGTACCAGCCCTCCTAGATTCAGGAGCCACCAGGAACTTTGTAAGCCCTGAGTTTGTCCGGAAACACAAGCTCAAGACAACCCCTCTCCTGCGACCCATTCCCGTCCATAACGTTGACGGAACCCCAAACGAGAATGGAGCCATAACCGAAGAGCTGGAAGCCCTCCTGACGTTCAGGCGGCACACAGAGCATGCCTGCTTCGTGGTTGCAAACCTGGGACGACAGTCCCTCATCATAGGGCACTCGTGGCTGCTACACCACAACCCAGAGGTAGACTGGGCACGACAGAAAGTCGTCATGTCCCGTTGCCTGTCTGCCTGTAGACAGCCATGAGCACGAGATGACCAGGACCCTGCACTAGAGCCAGGGGATGGGATCTACGCTGCAATCATCCCCCCTGGCTGGGGACATGACCTGAGGGCCACCACAACCCCCTCTCAGCGGATGGCCCAGGAGGCCCATGACCCAGACGCAGAGCCCGCATCGTTCAAGACGCTGGTGCCAGAGCACTACCAGGACTTCCAGGACATGTTCTTGAAAGAAGCCTTCAACCAGTTGCCCCCCCCCAGAAGCCCTGGGATCACGCTATAGATCTGGTACCAGATGCCAAACTGCCCAGAGGGAAGACCTTCCCCCTCTCATGCCCAGAGCAGAAAGAACTGGATGAGTTCCTGTGTGAGAACCTGCAGAACGGGTGGATACAACCATCTAAATCTCCGATGGGTGCACCAGTCTTCTTTGTCAAGAAGAAGGACGGATCACTGCGCCTGGTACAGGACTACCGGAAGCTGAACGAAATCACCGTAAAGAACTCATACCCACTCCCACTCATCTCGGACACCTCCAGAATGCCAAATACTTCTCTGCCCTGGACTTGTGCTGGGGGTTTAACAACGTCCGGATCAAGGATGGGGACAAGTGGAAGGCAGCATTTGCGACCAACCGAGGGCTGTTCGAGCCTATGGTAATGTTCTTTGGGCTGTGTAACTCCCCCGCGACTTTCCAAACCATGATGAATGACATCCTTAGGGATTTCATCGACCAGGAAGTCGTTATCTGCTACATGGATGACATTCTCATCTTCACGGCCACCCTGGAGGAGCATCGGAAGGTCGTCCGAGAAGTCCTGGAGATGCTGCAAAAGAGGAGGCTCTTCCTGAAGCCAGAAAAGTGCAAGTTTGAGCAGACCTGGATCGAGTGCCTCGGCCTCGTCATCTCAGAAGGTAGCGTTGCCATGGACCCCGTAAAGGTCCGTGGAGTCCTTGACTGGCCAACCCCAACCAAAGTGAAGGAAGTGCAGTCCTTCCTGGGGTTTGTGAACTTCTATCGCCAGTTCATCAAAGACTTCTCTGAGAAGGCATGCCCGCTCCACAAGTTGACCCAAAAGGCCCAAACCTGGAACTGGGGCATGGACAAAGACGATGCCTTCCGTGCCCTCAAAGAAGCTGTCACCACTGCCCCAGTTCTCTCCTTCCCCTCCGACTCCAGCCACTTCAAACTCGAATGCGATGCCTCCAATTTCGCAACCAGTGCAGTCCTCTCCCAGCTCCAACCTGATTGTCAGGGCACATACCCTGACTTAGCCCGGACCCGGACCCACGTCCGGACCTGCTCCACTTTCCGTGCACTTCCTGCGCCGCATGATCCCACCTCATGTGACTTCCGGGTATCCCCGGAAGTTTTCGCCATATTGGGCCACTGTGGGAAAGTGAGAAGTTAACCTTCTTCTCACTTTCTTACCCACAGTAGGCAAGTGTACCTTACTTGCCTTTCTATCTATTACACTTTCTTACCCACAGTAGCTATGCCCTGAGATGGGCTGTGTTTACAGGCCAGACTGTGGACTGTAGAGAGGGGTCATGGGGACCCGGGGTCCGTCCCCTGACACCGATGGGGAGTTCCACCCGGTGGCATTCATGTCCAAGAGCTTTATGGATGTGGAACATAACTACAAAATGTATGACAAAGAGATGCTTGCAATCATCCAAGCTCTTGAGGAATGGCAACACTTCCTAGAGGGTGCTGAAGAGAAGGTCAAGGTCTACACCAATCACCGCAACCTGGGGTACTTCTGGATGGCCCAGAGGCTAAACCGCCGCCAGGCCTGATGGTCCCTCTTCCTCTCCTGCTTCCACTTCACCCTTGTCCATCGTCCTGGGAAGCTCATGGGAAAACTGGATGCGCTCTCCCATCGTGCTGACCACCCAAAAGGGAAAGATGACAACGAAGGGTTGACCCTCCTCCAACCAGCCTGGTTTGAGGCCCGTGCAACAGAGGCATTCTCAGTGGAAGGTGAGGAGGTAGGCATCTTAGATCGGATACGCAGGGCAAAGGACCATGATGAGAGGGTGGTAAAAGCCATACGAGAGCTAGGAGAAGGGACGCTAAGGTCAGATGAATGGGAAAGGCAAAGCGAACTGGTCCTGTACCGGGGGAGGGTATACGTCCCAAAAGACCCCCAACTCCGCCACGACCTAGTGAGGCTACACCATGACGTGCGGGCGACAGGGCACCCAGGGCGGTGGAAAACCCTGGAACTTGTCTCCCACGACTACTGGTGGCCCCAGATGGCAGAGTATGTCAGGCGGTATGTACGTGGGTGCAACACTTGTAACCGTGTCAAATCCTTCCCCTCACAAAAGGTTGGGAAGCTTACCCCGAACAAAGTCCCTACCCGTCATTGGCAGGTAATTTCAGTGGATATGGTGGGAGAGCTCCCAGAGTCCAAGGGATATAACGCCATCTTGGTGGTAGTGGACCGCCTGTCCAAACGTATCCACGCAGTCCCCACTGTGACGACCATAGACTCGGAGGGTATCGCGTGGCTCTTCCTAGAGCACATCTGGAAGCATCATGGGCTCCCTGAGGAGATCCTCAGAGGAAGTGCCTTCGTCTCCCACTTCTCAAGGGAGCTCGCGGACCTCCTAGGCATAAAATTAACCCCCTCAACGCCCTACCACCCCCAGATGGATGGACAGACCGAGCGGGTCAACCAAGAAATTGAAGCCTACCTCCAGGTGTTCATCAACCATCAACAGGATGACTGGGCAGATTGGCTCCCACTAGCAGAATTTTCCTACAACAACCACATCCACTCATCCACCCACTGAACCCCTTTCGAACTCAATACCGGCCGGCACCCCAGAATGGGGACAGAACCCACACGTATGTCCGAAGTGGAAGCTGCTGATGCATTTTCGTCAAGGATGATGAAAATGCAGGAGGAGGCGAAGGCCACACTGGAACACACAGCGGACGAGATGGCCCGCTACTATGACCGAGACCGTGAGGTGGCCCCAGAGTATCGAGAAGGTGACCAAGTCTGGCTCAGCGCCCAGAACTACACGACTGACTGTCCAACCAAAAAGCTGGACCACAAATGGCTTGGCCCCTTCAAGATCGTCAAAGTCGTCTCCCCAGCCGCTGTCAAACTCCAACTCACCGCACAACAGAAGGGAGTTCACCCGGTCGTGTCTGTAACGAACATCAGGCCACACCACCCGGACAATATCGCAGAATGACCCACTGACCCCCGCCCAGGCCCGGAACTCGTAGATGGAGAAGAAGAGTACGAGGTCAAAAAAGTATTGGACTCTAAGTGGCTATGCCGGAAACTCTGGTATCTGGTAAAATTTGTTGGTTGGCCAAGCTCAGAGAACCAATGGCTCCAGCGGGACCACTTAGCCCATGCCCCCAACCGGATCAAGGAATTCCACAAGATGCATCCCCTAGCCCCAGGGAGAGAAAGAGAGAACCACCTGACCGCTTCGAGGCAAAGCGGCTTAAGGAGGGGGTGATGTCAGGGCACACCCACCTGACCCGGGTCCACCTGGACCCACCTGGCCACACCACACCCACTCCCTGCTGTCCATCCCTCTCCCTCCTCCTTCCTCCCTCTCTTCCCCTTTCTTTTCACTCTTTCTTCTCCTTTCTTTATTTCATTCTTCTCATCTTCCTTTTCCTGTTTATTTCCTTCTATCTACATGGACCACCTTCCTTTGTATCAATGTACTATTGACCTGCCTGGCCCACACACCCTGGATGGCTTCCTGCTGTGCCCAGCATGCGTGCATGCAGCAGACACTCTCAGGATCCCCCACAGGGACACCTGGATGCCCACAGCTGTCTCCGAGGATGACGTGGCACTCGTCATGTGACTCAAGCCGCATGTACATAAATGTACCTGAAGTGGGAACAGAAGAAGTAACCTTCTTCTCACATTCTCCACTTCAGTCTAAGTGGCCAGGGACTGCTGTCCCTTCCTGGACCTGCCAGCATGCATGCCCGGTTCACACCCTGCAAGGGCCCTTCTGCTGGGCGATACATCCGGACCCCCTCTACCCTGGATGCGTCCCTGACAGTTTATTGTTGCTGTTTACTCTAGTTAGCCCCCAAAAAACAAGGAATCTGGAGGCTACTGCCCACAATGATGCAGAAATGTGAGCTTGTGTGATCCTATCCCAAAGATCTCTGGCTCAGTTAGGACAAATTGCCCTCTGCCAAGCACCATCCTGACAGAACTTCACTGCCGCCACTTGATTAGTGATTCAGTCATTTCATTTTGAATATAATGGACATGTATGAAGACAACAACGTAAAAATAGGTGGTGGACTATGTAATTACAGTGCTGTTTAACAGATCAACAAGCTTATCAATGGCACATTGTGACTGCTCTTCACCTTCTTCCTCAGATAGCCCATCATCCATATTGTCACTGTTTCCCTCGTCAGCTGTCTCATTCCCAGAAGGCAAATTGGGTTCAATGCTGAGTTGTTGATTGACATCGGAGTTGCTTGGAGGCACCCACTCAGTGCAAGCAGAAGTACCAGTTCCATGTGGGGAAAGATAATACGGACAGGACTTGAGGCACAATAATTTCTTGCAGAGGTGGGCATTTGCTTTGACATGCCACTTGAAAGCCATCAAGATATATGATGCAAGGGTTGGGTTGCTAGCAGCCACAGCCTTGATAGTTACCTTGAGCTGTAGTTCCTCATCCCTCATAGAAGTCAGTATCCTGTGGGTTTCAACTCCAATGGTAACAAGTTCTTCTTTTGCACATTGGAGTCTTGCCCATGCCTGGGTTGCTGCACAGAAATGCTCCTGCATCCATTCACAACTCCGAATATCATCATGACCCCATAATAGTTCAACTGCACTTGGGAAGTCAGGATGGGTTATGTCATCCCAAGTGAGGGATGGCTTCAGAGGTATCATTGCTGTGCCAGTGGTGTCATACTTCTCAAGGGTGGAATGAAGCATCCTGCTCCGTTTTCCAACCAACTGTTATATGTTGATGGGTTTTGTAGTCTATGAATGGAAAAATTGATGTAATATCTGAAAACTATAATGAAGTACTCACCGGTCTTTGGAAGACCCATTTTCTCCAACTCAAACCAATGAGAGATAGCAAAATGTTCCAGATCATCAAGAAGGCAATGATACTTTCTCTCATTACGCAACTGGATGGCTTCCTGGAATTGAGGACAGTTTTCAAGCCAGGGCAAGGCGAGAGATGACGTTGCATCCAGCACAGAGACAATACAGTGTGCATCCTCCACTTTGCGTTGAGCACGCAAAGCTTGGTAGGTGAGTTCCAAGGTTGGTGATGCAGATAGCATCGATAACAGAGGCCGAAGCTCTGACCTACTTAGATTTGTAGGTGGTATGCACATTATGCAGGCAGCGACTCACTCAGCATTCTCTAATCGTGTCATATCCATACAACTCCGGACCTCCGCTCCTGTTCTGGACCTCCATCTCCTCCTCCAGAACTCCACATCCTCCACCTCCTCCTCCCCCTGTTGGTTGTTGAGAGCCCACTCTACCTCTGGCTCCCACACAACATCCAACACTACCTCCGGTCCGACTCTGGTTTACTCCAGGTCCGATCCCAACCTTGTACCTTCCAGACCAGAGTTTGTGATGCTCCACACCCCCAGCTCCGGACTCCTGTACCGGAACCCCATCGCACCTCCACCTCTGGAACTCCGGTCACATCTCCTCCTCCGGACTTTGACCTCCTCCTCCATCTTATCTCCTTGTATTCCTTATTACATTTCATTTATTATGTCTTGCCAATATTCCGGACTTAGACTTCCGACTCCGGACCCTGCAGTCTCTACTGTAATGGTGTCATTTAATCCTCTTGTTGCCTCTTCCTTATTTAGACAGCTGCTTCCTTTCCATATTAGTCAGCTGTCATTCCCCACAACCCCCTCCACTCCTTCCTCTCTTGGCCTTGCCCTTTTGGGAAGCACCATAGAGTTCCAACCCTTGGCCCTTGGGGCTGTTCCCTCATCCAGTCCCCCTTTGTCCTCCTTCCAGTTCCCTTTGTTCTCTGACTCCACTCCTGTATTGTTATATATATACTCTGTACTTAGTTTCCTGTACCCCCAGTCTGAAATCGACAACAATGATGACTGGATTGTCCCCCAAAGAGACTCCCCCTGCTAACCTGAAGTTAAGGACCACCTTAGACAACAAGCAGTGGCACTGCGCTCCACTTGAGTCGCTGAGGCCAAGGTCCCTCCACTCCTGAGTCCCTTCTCCACTTCCAGACAACTCCGCACATTCATCTAACAAATCGCTCCAGTGCTTCAAGGTACTTGATTTTGGCTTGTTCAGCCTTTGGCTCAGACCTCAGCAATGCAATGTATTCCTTCTCTTCTCACAGAAATAGTGGACAGTCCTGGTTGAAATCGAATGATGGGTGCATGCATTTCATTGCTTCCAAGATATCCATGGATTCGCAGATCTGTGTCCATGCAGAGGTATGGTTCCCTAATAGAAAGTTGCCTATCCCCAGGTCAGAACTAGTTAATGTGAGTGGTGCCGATCCTCACCTAAGCACTCATACTTATCCTGGTCCCACTTCTCAAAATGAAGGTGGATCCGGAAGTGGCAGTAATGCGCAGACGCATGCCAGGTTACTGCCGCAACACCATTACTGGAGGAGAATGTCCGTTTTTGGCATTGTGGGTGTCAATGGCATTGGCAAGAGTGGTACAATGGTTGAAAGAAAACATGTGATGGAGCTGTTAGATGCTGTACAGTTTATTAGTGCATTGAACGTGCGATGTGCATGCGGTGTATACAGTATGTATATAACTGGAAGTCGAAGTGGTGATGACACTTGAGAGTTGAGGTTGTGTGGTTGTGCAGTTGTGTGCACAGACACGATGTTGAGGTCGTGAGAAGTGTGAGTATCCAACATAGGAAATCAATTCATTATCTGTCCACAAAATGTGATTTTGCATCTGGACCATCTATATATATACAAGGGATTCCAAGAGCATTGGGAGCATGCTCTGAAAACGTGATTTGATATCTAAGAAGGTATTGGAACCCCCCCTGACTACGACACCTAGCAGGCTAGTCAGCCAATTAACCCACCCTATCAAGGGGTGTTTTTTACGCTTCAAATAGGGCCTAAACAGCCTATTTCAATGTGGACATCCTGGGACGTCCTGGTGATGCAGCTTGCTGCCAAAAATGGACTGTGGGAAAATCTGAGGATGTCCTGATAACTATGTGCCCCATGATGTTGTACATACGGCTATTTACATAAATAGTAGACAGGAAAATGGAAAAGATAAAGGGAATTAGGGCCAAGGTGGGGGAATGGCCAATGTTTCTCAATGATTTCGAGCATTATACTCTGCCATAGTGCTTTCAAGGGGATTTTTAATGCTTATAAAGATTTTGGAGATTTTACAGGCCATTGTAGATAACCATATCCGGTATGCACCTACTATGGGTAGCTTGCGAGGCTGGCATCTCTGTCAAATCTCCACCGATTTGGAAAATCCATTGCTTACAAGTACATACAAGCTCTGGCTAACATTCTATAAGGAAATGTATAACCTTATAGCTAGGTATCAGAATGAAGAACACACATGTTATGTCGCATGTAAGCATATATATTACCACATTCAAGTTCTAACGTGTATTGTCATGAATATTCACCGAACATGGATTGTGTGGGAAAGGGAAAAAGTCGACATTCAGAGTCTCTCAGGAGCCTTAAAAATATGAAAAAATATCCTGAGTGCCCGTGGAGAATATTTCTCCTATAGTACCAAGTTTGAGAGAAATCGATGGCATTTTTGTCAATATATTTGCAAGTTATGCTGATTGATGGCAACACAATGAATAAAGTTGACGATCTCCACAACGGCTGAACCAAATCTCTCCGCTACAGACTAGCTCGACTCATTTTGATAACAGCTTTCCAATAATACAAAATATGTGTAAATCGACGAAGAAATGGGGGAGAAATGGGGGAAATACTGTGGAGCAGCCTGATATGAAAGAAGGTTGACGCGAAACCAAACCGTCCCTTTCCATGCCTTTTTTTGAGCCACACTAGCTTCTCCTCTCTTCCAGCTTTCCAACAAGCTCAATTTTATTTAAATTGGCCCTGTGGTTCTTGAGGTACCACCATTAACAGGTGCTGTCAAGTCCACGTGAGATTCAGCATGGTGTTGAATCAGAATCTCTACTAATATTTGTCCATTCGGCACGAAAACCGGCATGGTAGGAGAGCTAATTGTGATCTATCGATCGAGCATAAGAACATCGGGTGTAAATGCGTAGTTGTGGAGACCGTTGAGTAAGAAGTTGAAAGTTATGCTGTGCATGAGAATCCTGCTTAGGAACTGAAAATGGTTTCAAAAAAATAGAAAAAAAATTGGAAAGAGCAAGTAATGTGGGTCGTAAATGGATGTGCAAATGGCGGCAAGACTGGGCCTGTGCGCTGTGTGGGCTACAGTGTAATATCCATAAAAATAGTTATTTTGTGGTGTATGAACCTTTCCCTGTAGAAACAAACAGAAACAATATGCTATGGTAGCTTCAAGAACATTCCAATTGGGTTTAATAGATGGAAAACACTAATAAAAGAAATTGAAAAAGACAGAACAATAAGAAAGTGGCCTGGAAACCCAAACTTGTGTTGGAAGCCTCAACCCCTCCCCATAACCATAACCGTTCTAATTCTACACCATTCAACTATACTAAACCTTAGCTTTACAACCCAGTTGGTCTCATTCCAAATGGTGGAGAAATGAGCAAGATAGTATGGGAGGAGCGGGGAATACATTGTGCATTTCCCCTATCTCACTGAATAGTAGTCCAAATGTCCTGAAAGTTTGTGCACTACAATACATGTCCTCAAAGTAAACTTGACATATTTTTTCGTATTTTTTTGACATCTGAGAGGCACTGAACTTTGACCTTGCATGTCATTTCCCACGCATGCCACTCCCGTGCGGTGTTGAGTGAACCGAGAATCACACATTTCTCCATCAGTTTTCAACCATTTGCCATCGGGTTTTTTGCGATAAATTTCTGTTAATCGCCTCTTTATTTCGTGTTATTACTCCAACTCATTATTCTGCATGCACACAGCTCCAGAAGTGGATTGTGAATCAAGGACATCGTTACTTGAACATTTGAATTGAAAGTGAATTGTCAGGACGTCTCAGGACGTCCTAGGATGTTCCCATACAAAAGAGGCCTCTAGGCCCTCTTCAAACGTCCTGAGAACCCCCCTCTATAGGTCTAGATATCGGTTGTCCAAGGTGCACCTAGTTACATTGATCCCGTGATGAGTAATAGGTGCTGCTACACCCCAGACACCTCTTTATATTGACTGAGTCACGAGTACTAGGTGCCACGGTCGGTCCTGGAAGCAAAAGCCTCGCAACAATGGTTAAACCGATCTTTTACGCATCACTAATTCCCTCTGCGCAGAGTGGTGAATCAATAATTCTCTGGAGAAGCCTTCCTGTGCCGCTTTTCGATGTCTCCTGTGATCAACTGCGCTCGCACTCCTCAACGCCGTCCCACTCCCGCCTTCACCTGCTCGGAACACCGCATGGAATACACACCTTGATTAGTCTGGGATTCCTCGAGCCACGTTTCTGGAAGTTCGAACAGAAGGGTCGTGTTCACGGAACCGTCGCGTCATGCCCCGAGAACCCTAAGTGCCATTTGGAAAGCAGCGTGATGGGAGGATGGTGTCACAAATTGGATGACTCGGGGTCGGGGCATTATGTACATGGGTGGCGCAGGCTTCAGTGGTGGCGATCCCTTCTATCCATTCTCATTGGAGGAAGAACTAAAGAACTGGTGGAAGTAGAGGGATGGGATGGGTTAAAAATCGAACCGAGCCTCCATTTCCCGCCCCTTTTCTCATGTTAACGACAATCCTAGCGAATACTTCGCAGTTTGCGGGCTGAGCGACGACATTTTTTTATATTATAATTAAGTAACTCTCTGGGACAAAGCGGTGCCTAGGCATTAGACGAAGACCACGCACGACCCCTATACCCATTTGCATTACAAAGATCATTTTAAAGATCTAACAGTGGTGATGGGTCGTATCCGAGGCCGTTTCGGGGTATAATAGCTCTCCGCCTATCTGGAGAAAAGGAATTAGCATTCAATATTCATTCTTGCGACACCGGGGAGTAAGGGGAGATGAATCACTTACCGAAAAGTTGAGGACTTCCTGTCGTTTGGCTTGCAGGAGCTGTCCATTCTGACAGAGTTCTCGAGTTCTGGCGAACCAGGCCGGACGAGGAAACATGTTCGTCCGAGGGGCGAGTGGGTGGATTTGTTAAATGTGCAATGTCCCGGAGGACACTGGCATAGTAAGGGACGGGATAGGGAGCGGCATCAAAGACGGGACCTAGCATCGTTTCCGTCACATCTCGGTGACGGGGCGTGATGTCGCGTTTACGTTGTCGTCGACGATAGAAAATGAATGTTGCTATGAGAGCTACTGTAATAACCACCAAACATCCTACAGTGCCGCCGACTATCGACCCCACATTAGTGGAAGTCGATTTTGACGATCCATTTTGGGTTGGACTTGCAGTTCGCGAAGATGTCCGAGCGGCAGTTGTGGAAGCGATGAAAGGGGTACTGGGGTCAAGGGAGGATCCCCATACTTCGACGTAATCAATGGAGAGACTAGCGCTATTGATGTTGTTAGCGATAGTGAGAAGGGTTGGAGATAGATGGTCGCCCAGCCCAAGGAAGTAACACAATAATTGCTGTATCGCGTCGTCGCTGAACAAGCCCGCGTTGCCGTTCATAGTCTGGAGCACTGGGTCGACTATCGTCTTGTTTATACCACACGCATAACTTCCGTGGCTGGGTCCAACTTTTCCGTAGACAGCAACGGCATCAGCTGTGGATGGAACAACAATGGATGTTCGAGCATAGTTCGTGTTTGTTGATGAAATCGTATCGTCGTATGACCCATTGTCAAAGGTACCAATATCCCAGAGAGATTGACTGGGGAGGTACTCAAACATGAGCACACTACCGTTTGCATCAAACCGGCTTGAATCATCGACCAGTAACGACGTTGAATAGTCTGCAATGATAGCCTCCCATATGATATAGTCAATATCGAAATAGTGGTCAGAGCCCCCGTTTGTGACGCTCAGGGAGTGCAGTTCAGGTGCAAGGTCTGTTCGCCCAAATAAAACATTTTGAAACGTGTCAATGGGGCTATAACCACTGTATTCGCTGACTGCACCATCCAAATTCACGAAATAGTTTCCATGATTCTGGCGCTTTGCACCATAAACCCAAATCCCGGTCCCTTTAAAAATAAAGGTTGCCGTTGCGTTTATAACATTCGTCATCACTCCGGTCCCGTTGTGGTACCGGTCCACGGACGGATCGGTTGAAGGTACCAGTTGCCAGCCACTCGACACATAATGTATGAGCGAGTTGGGGGCATCGACTGTGAAGTTGAGCTTCATAGAACAAGGCACAGGCAAAGGTGGTAGAGGGAGCCTGAGGATAGTTGGTGCAAAGCGAGGGCCTCAGCTGCAAAGCCATTGAATGCGCGAGGTGATTGTTTATACTAATAAAGACTGGTAACCTGCCTAAGGTGATTGATGGCAACAGCATCGGAGCTTAAGTACATAGTCGGAAAATCTTCGACTTCTCGTCTTCCGTCAGCCTAAGTCGGGGAACACCGAAACTCCCACGGATTAAATGGTTAAATGAACTCGTGCTCGATGGTGAGTAGAAACCTGCCTGTCGATGGTGGTGCGTCCGGTTCGACTAGCGGTCGTGGGCGCAGGGCCTTCGGCCTTTTATTGTGCACACAGAGTTCTCTCAAGACTCCCCTATTCCCAAGTGCATTTGTATGACAGGCTATGGGCACCCCATGGACTGGTTCGATATGGTGTGGCACCCGATCATCCAGAAGTGAAGGCGCGTAATCTCGCTCATTAAAATGAGCACGGGAAGCGATTGATCCTCAACCAAACGCACCTCGACCGCATAATTTTAGAATTGCACGCATAAATTTGATGAGACAGCTCTAGACCCTCGATTCAAGTTCTTTGGGAATGTTTCTTTGTCTGCACCCCTACCTATGAAGCAAAACGTCTCGCTTCCTCTGTCGTCTCTTTTTCCTTACTACACCCACATACTTCTCTCACATGGTGCATCTCGGCCACTTCCATTAGAGAACATGGATCCCTCTCATACCATCACCGCGCTACGTTTCGTCCACTGGTATACCGGACATCCTAGCACATATCATCTCCCTTCACCTCCACTGTCAAAGGTGAAGCATATTACTCTTGTCGGCCATGGAAACGTATCACTGGACATCGCTCGCCTTTTACTCACTGACTCGTCGCTGCTGTCCTCACTTGACATTTCGGCGCATGTCCTTGAAGAGTTGCACAAATCGACCGTTGAACATGTCAACATCGTGTCTAGGCGCGGCCCCGCTCAGGTGGCCTTCACCGCAAAAGAATTGCGTGAGCTTCTCAATTTGCCGAACGCTTCCATGGTACCCATTATTCCCGAGATGTTCTCCCCCCTTACACTTGTACCTGCATCGTCTTCTGCCGTGGAAATAACAAATAACGGCCCCAAATCCGCCACATCAATCATCCCTGGGTTGACGAGACAACAGACACGGATTTTAGACCTTCTCAAGAAGGGGTCCAAAATGGCGTTTGGATCTACGCGAAAAACTTTCTCCTTCCAGTTTTTCCGCACACCACATTCGTCATCCTCTTCCTCGGGGACAATAACCTACGATCTGAATATGCTGAACCCGGACGGAAAAGCGAGATGGACTGGTGACAGGGAGACACAGAACACGGATCTCGTCGTTCCCAGTCTAGGCTACCGCTCGGATCCTCTGGTTCCATCCCCAACTCCAATAATACCAACACCAAATGGTGCAGAAACGGGGGTTGTTGATGGATGGTATGATTCCACGCTGGGGAGGGTACGAAACGTCTCTGGACGCGTGCATGCCTTCGTTCCGTCGTCTTCGCCAGACCAGAGCCATCGGCTCTGTCGCATAAAGAACGTCTATGCGTCCGGGTGGGCAGCAAATGGCGCAAAGGGGGTGCTTGCTAGTACCATGTATGATGCGTATGCCGTTTCAGACCTTCTAGTGAGCGATCATCTGTCCCAACAGAACGAACTAGCATCCGAAGAGTCCATCGCTCCCAGCATCAATCTCTTGGAGGGTGATCAGGATCTGGGGACGAATCTGGCAACTGGTTTACCTGCATTCTTGAATGAGGCTTCGAAAGGAGCCGGGAAGAGGGTCGTTAGCTACCCAGAATGGAAAATGATCGACGAAGAGGAGCGGCGGAGGGGACAACAGATGGGGAAGGAGAAGGAGCGGATGTCTTGGGAAGAAGTGAACATTTTCCTATCATAAAAAGCAAGAATCGGGTGGCTTTCTCGCTTATATTTCGCCATCCTAGTCCAGTGATGGGAAGTCGCGTTGGCAGCTATGCCGCATCCCCATTTTGACGTTAAGGCCGAGGAAATTGTTGCACTCCAGACGCAAGGGGGGTTCTTGGGCGTCCATCCATCATCAATCCCTTGGTCGCAGTCGTCATCCCACCCAGCTCAGCTCACCCGCAAGGAAAAAAAACCATTGTTTTATTAAAAACACTAAATTACAATTTTGTTTCTCTCTTCCAAAACTACCAAAAAAAATATACCAGTGGTGCTACAAAAACTTCCACACAAAGTAAAACAACAAATATAATCTATGAAGTGAGAGCTTTTGATCGCTGGGCGGTTAACATTTTCCTCAAGTCCGAGGCTTTTCCTCCACCTGTGCCCAGTGTAGCCGTTAACGGTAAAGTAGACCCAGTGCTAGCGTTGGGGATAGCCCCATCCACGATACTCCGCATTCCGACAAATGACGTTTTCCGGGTTGGTACCTGGGTACCACCAGTGACCGATTCCAGTTCCCTTGTGTCGTATTCAAATTCGTCTGACACTGGCGGTGAGGTCACTCGAGAAGGGAGGGGGCGACGCCGACCCGATTTCTTGGCGTGAAGTTGGGGAAGGTGTCCATCCGGCTTGTAAGGAAGAGATGCAGATAGTGCGGCAGTAGGGGTTGTGGGTAAGGGTGTGATAACTGAAGAGGGGGTCGTTTTAGGTGACCGGTTCACCTTTCTGTCCGAGATTTGAAACTCATGATTCGGGTTAGACGTCGCGCGCGATCGCGAGGAGTCAGTATCCAATTTTTCTCTTGTCTTTGTCAGAGTAGGAGGCCCAGTGATTGGGGGTGTGATTTTGGAAGGAATGGTAGTTTTAGATGACTTGGCCGCTTTCCCATCGGAGATTTGAAGCCCATAATTTAGTGATGTAGGATTAGATGTCGCGGGTAGGTGCGGTAAGTCGGTGTCCGAACTCGTTTTCTTCAGTGGTAGATAAAGGTCTATACACACCCCTTCGCGGCGAGATGATGTGGAAGGTAGTTGGAGGTTTTCGAGTAACATTGATGGCGAAGGGGAGTTGGAACGATGAAAGTCCCGAGTCTGTTTGGGAGGCACCGCGTCCCCTGGGGGGGATGGATTCAGTGATGTGTCTTGGCCAGATATTCTGATATTCGGCATTGTGGGTCTGCGCCCAATGGAGTGAGGAGGGCGCCCCAGTCCAGGAGGCGAAGTCAAGGAATCCGATCTAGAACGGCTTAACAGGGAGGGGCGATTCACATCTCTCAGCTCAGAAGGAACATTCTGTACAGTACTCGATTCATTATTATTCTTCACAAGCGTAGCGTTCACAAAGCCATGATCTGGTAAAGAAATATGAGATAAAACACGCTTAAGTGGCGGCGTGCCCACCTATTGGGGAAGCTCTTCCGGCCGAAGAGCCGGGAGGCGCGTCCGGGGACCTCTTCAGCGAGCTCTTTAGAGGTCTCGGACACTGGTGAGGTTTTTCGACCATAGGATTCTTGTTTGTCGTCACGCTAGTATGATTCAACGGTGCAGTATGCGGCCGTTGAAGTGCGGGCACGGTTTTTGAAGGGTGGACGGGAAATTTTACAATGCTGGTGGGTGGCATGGGGAAACTATCAAGGGTGGAGAATTCGTTCAGTGCTTTGACAGATGGCTGACTGAGTCCTTGCGTTCCAGCTGTTCGAGAGAAGATGAGTGGGACTCGATCTGGTCCACGTGCTGCTTCTGGAAGAGCTTCATACGACCTGGAGCGACTTATCGGAGGCCGTGGGTTGCTGATCGTACTCTTGAGAGTTGGCTGCATTACCCCAGCTCCAGCGTCCCCACTGGGGGCACGCCAAGCACTAGGCGCAGTAGAAGGCCGTTCAATGGTGCTATGGAGTGAACGACGACTCAGGGATGGTTGTTGCGGGGATATGTCCACCACTGCGTTGAGATGTTCCAGCGGAGTCTGGCTGACCTCCGAAGGTGGAGGCTCTTGAATTGGCAGCTCGAAACGTTTGGAGGTGCCGTAGAAGGGAAGGGCCTTTTTCCAGACAGAGGTCTTGGACGGTTTCTTTTCCCTGACGGATGCACTGGCTGCTGCACTGGTTCCGTCTGGCAAGGAAGACGAGGGAGTTCCAGTGATAAGGACGACATGGGACGGTGAGTTATCCTCAACGGTCGGAAAGGGAAAGAGTTCGATAGGACCACTAGGTCGCCTCTTGACGAGCCTTCTACGACTATTGCTTGGCTTCAAGGACGGTGCATTGCTTGGAGTGGAGGAAATATCGCTGGTAGAGCTGCCCTGGGAATGTTGAACAGTGAAATAGCTCATCAATCTTCGCGCAGCTATCATGAACTGCGAAAAAAGCTTCGGTTGCCAGCCAGTTCAGCCGTTATACAAGTCTTCATTCCGACGACCCGAATTAGCGTGGAGAGTTGTAGGCAGTTAAAAAATTGCAAAAAAAAGGAAACTATCAACTCACTGAAATAACCGAGGACGAAGGAGCGTTTGTTCAAGGTCGGGACCAAGATGGACCCGCCTGGTTGGTGAGCGAAAGGAATCGACGAACGACAGTGAAAACAAAGACAAGGGAGGTGAACAGCAAAAATTGCAGTTAGTGATGCGATTGCATGTCATGGAGACGAGCTGCTATTTAGCGCATTCAGGAGATACAATCAGGACTTTTGTCAATGAACAGTACTTGGGATAATTTTCACACCGTGATCGTCGCCGCACGTCGCCATAGAGAAAATCTGGGCTCTCCCATGTCCCTAATTCAAAGAGAGTCATTTACGGGTCGCAAACGTGCACGTGCCTACTCCAGGTTCGTCGAGCGTGTGAGTTCGCTTTATCACAATCGGTTCGGGTTACTGGATTTGTCCAACCCAACACCAGAACTGTTTTCGCCAGTTGTCGGTGTAGTACGGCATATGCCGAGGGGCATGGACACCTGTATCATATCATCATCGGACGAGGTGCTAACATCAGAACTTATTATTATGGACTAAGTACATTGGCAAGGCCAGGACAGATAAGGTTAGTGCCCGTCGATCACAAGCATGCACATAAAAAATAAACGCACTCTTGTCTGAAAAGCCGAAGAGGACGCCACAAGACCAATAAAAACTCGGTTTCGATTTCTTGGGGCCTTGCATGGGTGCACAACAATTTAGCGCCTTTCGACAAGCAGGTTCGTTCTATTCAGTCAGACGTGAGACACGTAGTACTGAAAGCGCCATCACAACCCCCGGATCAACAAAGAGTTTGCGGTCAATTGATAAATCGAATCTCCAAGACGAAACCCGTTCTCGCCAGGAATGTGATCGGTCAGGTCTTTGATGAATATAAACCCCCGGATATGAACATGAGATTTCGTTGATGGATAGGTGGGTAAGCTAGAGAGAGATTCAACCGGAGATCACAAAGCAAGGTTGTACTTCCACAAGACACAGGTCGTTGTGGTTCAAATGTGAGTATATGCTCCCGGGTGCGACTCCGAAAAATCTCGCATATGAAATAAGTAATGGAGGAACGCCAAAGAACAGGGGCCGCTCGCGGGACCTAAAAGAATATTAACGAAACGTACAGTTTTTTTGATTTATTCGGTAAGTAACAGGTCGATGAAGCGGCCATCTCATGAACATCAAGAGGGGGTGCAAGTTGTTCCGCTTGTGATAGGAATCCATGAGAAACGTTAGGTGACCCATTACGAAGAGAGAGCCCCTGAATTCTCGGGGTGAGGTGATTAGCTAGGTATTGGGCCACATATTGTGCTAATATACTTAACAGCATGTGTGACGTGGGTGTTGAGGCTCAGATAATATTACCTCCAGCCACCTTAGGGTTGGAGGATTGTTTGTCCTTGGACGCGTGGACGATTAACCCCTGGAACGATAGACCATGTATGGGTGTGCATTCATCGGCGAAGGCTCTCGAGATGAACATGCGAAATCATGGCGGGGCCTGGCGCTTCAACGCTGCCACGTCATGATTTCAAAAAAAATTACATCTCCCTTGCACGCGCGCCTCATACTCCTTTCATTTATTGTCCGCCAATAATAAGTATCCCCCCTTGGCTTTAGGTCGATGCTCGACCCTGCGAACCTAAACAAGCAAGTCGTAACAGAAAAGCACCTGCTTTGGATATATCCAGATGACCATAACCTTCCGCAGGCCCAGGCATCCGAGAAGCGCTGCTGGGCCATGGCGACTGCAACTGCTTCGTGTCAATATCACTGACGTTTGCAACTAGCCCGGCCTGGGCGCGCCGGCAGAAACACACACATCGATCATGTTTTTTTTTTTTCAATCAATTTATACGTGAGGCACTAGAACGGCCTGAAGATTGCTTGTCTAAATGGTGGATAATGACCCAGGCCTTTGAGCGCTGCCGAATTGGGTCCTTTAACAATACTATGGAGTGTTGTCTTCAGATTTAGAGGGTGCTGAGACGGCTGAGAAACCTCCTGTCATTGTTAGACGTGACCTGAAGTGTCATCCTGTACACGAGATTTCAGAAAGATAGTCTGATATCGGCGCATGGCCAGAGACTCGAGGGAGGGGCCAGATTAATTATGTTTTTTTTTTTTGGTGGAACCTTCGGTAGCTTTCGCGGGCAGTGTAGAGTGTAGGTTTGTGGGGAAGGGCGAACCTTCCCGGGGATCGTCTATAAGCTTGCCTGGGTTATGAGTGAAATTGCCACCACGATCGCATAGGCGCGCCACATGTCCGACGTGCACGTCAATAATATCCGCTCTCCCCGGGGGGGGTCCGGTATAGGCAGGGTACTATACTCATAGAGGCTGGTGACATGACCTGCCTAGCAGGTATAAGTATAAGAAGGTCCAGTATACCCTAAACCCCCGGGCCTCTTAAGCCAATCCCCTTGGGGCGGCACGCTTCATTCATTTAGGATAGTACCGCTCCATGATGCATGTATGTGCGCGCGTAAGACTAACTTTTCTGGGATAGCTCTGTTTCGGTGCATGGCTTTTCCTGTTGGTTGCCAAGGTTCCTGCCTTGGTTTAATTACTAGTTTTTTTTTGTTTTTTTTTTTTCCATTCAGCCCGCGCGCTGCTGCGAGGCCGGGGGGGGGGGGAGGGTATTCAAGGGATTCATTCATTCGGGGGAGATATATTGCTGCGCTTCTAGCTGTGGGTTTCGCCCCTTGGGCCCCTCCTAGTATATATCCCCAACTTCCATACGTATAGTACATATTTGCCATATTTAAATGCATGTTTGTGCATTTCGGATCCGGATCCTGAAGAACTTTGTCGCGCCCCATTTCATCCCATCATCAAGGGGGCGGCTTGGCCCATATTTTACTTACGTGGGGGGGGGGCTAAATTTCCCATATTATCCGGGCCGGCGGGGTGTTCTTTTTCGCTCCCCCCTTCCCGACCCACCAAGAGCTTGCATGAGAGGGCCTTATTGCATGCAGGCCGGCAATATATATGGGACAAATAAATGTGGGTCCAATCGACTCTATGCATGGACCCTGCTTGCATCTCGAGCGCTTGCTTTTGGTTCTTCGCAAGCTCGGGATTTTTGATCTTCCAGCTGGCCAGTACATGCCGTCGATCTTTGTGGGCGCTACTTCCCACATTGCACAGGAAGTTCCACATTACATTAGCTCCGGGTTGTTGTTCCTCGATCACCCTAATTAATACTCCCGTCAGTCGTGCCATCTCTCATGATGGCCATGGCGCCATGACACAAACAATGCAGAAAAATCCCAGAAAAACCGTAATGAATTATGTAAAAAGAGAAAAAAAAAAAACCCCCGAAAAAAACAAACAAACACAAATTAGGATGACCATGTCCATCATTACTACGTTAACCAAAAGAGATTTTCAATGCATGACGTTCATTCGTGTCGCTGTCGATCGAGCAACCACGTAGGATGCAAGAGATTCATGGTGTACATCGCAAGGACGACCATCGTACCATCAAGGACGTTGAAATACAACTCGGTGGAGATGATCCTTCCTGTCCAACCGTCGTTGAGCTGTTCCATAAAATCAACAACATGAAAAAGTATATTTGCAAGGAGCCACACGACGCGCACGCACCTCTATCGTTCGGTAGATGGATCGAATGAACAAGAATAGGGTGCTAAGGATGAGTCCGTATAGCTGTAGTTTCACCTTTTGATGGAATCCTCCATTGGGTCGCTTTGGTTCTTGACCATCTTCGACGATGCCTGGTTCCAGGCTCGGCGCGCTTACCGACGACGCCAGCGGGTTATGAGTCGTATAACGCCAAAGGAATTCAGCCGCTAAGGCGGTGTAAAATATAATGGCAACTGGAGAAGAAAAAAAAAAAAAAATGTCATATCAGAAAGAAGGCAAGGGGGGTGCGGGATAAGGGGCAGTATGTATTACCCAGTTGAAGGATGATACCGCCTTCCATGATGTGGGCACCATGTGAAGCGGCAGCATCCGTTGAGGCTGCCGATGCCATACCCCCACCAACGGCTTGTATGACCAGCGAAATGACGTCTATCACAATGAAGAGGGTTGCATCTATATAAGATTATATTAGTTTGGTTGGAAGGGGAAGGGGATGAATGATGAAGACGACTTGGGGGGGGGGGGGGGAGGACACGTACAGAGCTTGGGTGAGAGGCGGCTGTACTGAGTTCCATATACCTTCACGATGGCACCGAAAATGAGGAAATTTGCAGCGCTCAGGAACGTAGGCCTATTTTTTTTTTTTGAGGGAATGTCGTGAGATCAGGGAAACAGGATCTCTGAGAGAGAGAGAGAGAGAGAGCCATCATTACGTACGATATGATAGTAGTTGATATTTGGATCTTGAACGGAGAGTCAGCGGGAGGGTTGATCGAACTCCATAAGCGACCGCTCCATCCGATTAGCTCCCCAACGCCACACAAGACCACGGTTGCGATCAGATACCAATGACGGCCCAAGACGCTTTGTACACAGTGAATAACTGGAAGAATCATGGTTCTCAGTCCCCGTTATGAGAGGAAAACCATAATATTGTATTTTTCCATACCAGTGGAGATACCAAAAAGGACGAGCATCAAGATACAGATCCACTCTGTGGGACCAGCATTGCGTCTCCCGTCGGGAAGGGAGTAATTGTAAGGGCTGGTGTGATTAGGGTCAGGATCGACGTGGGTCATTGTGATGAACTTCTTTTGCGCTGTGAGTGGATCGTAAGATAGCTAAGAACTCGTTCGATGAGTTAGGGGGGGAGGACATGGGTCATTTTTAGAGGGCCTTTTTTTATAAGTGAAGTCAACGGGAAAGCAGTGTGACGGTTTGGCGAGGTCGCAATTTGAAAATTTGAAACTGTTTTTTGCGGCGCAGCTCAATTATCGGTTGTGTGCGTGCGGGGACTAAAAGTCCGCATGGAGGAAAAGAAACACATCAAGCCACCCGAACGGAGATATGTATAGAATCCATCCAATTCTCGCAAGTGTACGATGGATCGTACGAGTCGCGAACCAAATAAACTGCGTGCGAGGGTTGCCCTGCAGGAAACATGTGCGGCGCCTA